CACAAATTAAGCTGTCAGCCAGCGGATTCATTACTCTTTCCAAAAAAGAACCAACAAGCATTAAAAAAAAATATTGAGTAGCTGCTAATCCATATATCATTACTTGCTTCACAGATTTCTGCAAAGCTAATGCCTTATCTAGACTTCTATTTCCATAACTTATTAGAGCTGTCATGACTTGCAGAAGCTACCATTCCAATAATGGGGGACTGTGCCAAGGCTGAGATTATATTCTCATGAGATGGAATCGTCATACTATTATTCGCGCCTATATTCCATAGGTCCAAGTACTACAACAACAATAAAATATATAAACCAGTTAGTTTAGAAAGGCAGCATTTAACAGGAATTATGAGGCTGAACTCATTGTTATGCATCTGCGTGGATACTTCCCAAGATGTTGGCGCAATAGCTGAATAGTAGAGCTAAGAATGTAAATAGTTGAATAATAATGACTAGGAATCACCATATCATCCACCATAATGAGAGGGATGGTGAGTGACATTCCCAAAGTGGCTAGTAATGGAGTTGTCCATACAACACAAAGTGCCCTAAGGAGAATTGTGGCAATTTTAAAATTATTCTAAAAATGATTATGCGAGTGTCTGAAATAATAATTACAAAATGAAATGCTTCAAACATACCAAAAGTAGTCCGAGATCACACTTTCAATAAAGTCATTTGCAATAACAACTTCATCCATTTTAGCAGAGTAAGGAATTGTGAACTTGGGCTCTATTCCCTAATCAATAGAAAATTAAACAAATAAGATCTCTTACCAAGCCACCAGAAAGCTTCGAGTGTTAACAGTCCTGTATATCCAAATAACTTTTGCACATCAACCCTCTTTCCTTCTTCGGCAGCAAACTTTTTAAGAAGCATTGCAACAACAATTGTAAAATGAAACATATTACTCTGCAAGAATAATATTAGAACAAAGACTACATGGAAAGTAATACACCATTGGACCAATAAATAGATGATTAAAGCTCACCTTGTTAATTGAAATTGCCAGAAATAACTCGGTGTCGCCGGAAATCAACGCTCCACTTCCACCTCTCTCTCTTTCTTGACTGTTGAGCCTAGAGGACAAAGAAACACATCTTGGACGTCAGCTGGCCGAGATAGCAATGTAGTAGCAAGAAGGAGAGGGGAGATCAAGCGCATGAGCAAAAAGAAGAAATGAGTTTTTCCGTTTTGATGTGCCTCAATTTTATTATGGAAGACAAAACAATATATTTGTTTGGCTTTATTTAAGAGGGAGAACAAAGAGACCTAGATGAGTAGGAATCATAAGGTTGTATTAAATTTTTATAAGATAAAAGCAAATGTTCAAAATCTATACAATCTCACTTTTTAGAGGATGCACCACCTCAGCATTAGAGAAAACTCATTGATTCTCTTTTATATATATACTAGTTGAAATTTTGTGCTTTGCTCGCAGTAATTATGCTATATTATTATTTTGAAAAAAAAAATTATTTGTAATTTTATGTTGCAATTAATAATAAAAATAATTGGATAGCTTTTTTTCTCTTTCTTATTTTATCCATTTATATAGATTGTGTGCATTTAAATTTAATTAGAAATAGAGTATAAATTTAAATATAAGTTTTCCATATAAAACTTATATTTAATAATACATCCTGGACGTCAGTTGGCTGAAAAAAAATAAATTTTGTTACATAATGAAAAATAATACAAAACCAGTAAATAGATTTTTATTAAAATAAATTGATAATAATTTTATCAGTAAATTGGTTTTAATAAATAAAATTTATTTAATCAATTATTCTATTATTTGGTGTAGCTGAAACTGAAAATGGACGGTGCAGATTGGCAAGTTTACTTTTAGTGGCTTCATCTTCATTTTTAGATTGGCAAGTTTACTCTGCAAAAATGGAGGGTGAAATTTCACCGGGAACATTGAACATCGATACCAATTTTAGACTATTAGCCATGAAAGCAAATGAAGATTCATTAATTACATTCCGATTTTCAAAAGGAAATGGACAAAAATGAAGTCTAACAAAGTAATTCCCCTCCTGAATACCTTCAAATGTGTAGTTCATGCTTTCATGGATTTAGTAAAAATTCGAGCAGTCGGCCCCAAGATGGAATTACCACTTGCAGTAGTGGTGTTCGACACAAAAGAACCTAGAGTTAGATTGCTATTAGGAATCAAGTCACCAACAAATCTCCTGCCATCAACACTTCAAAGTTTCAAAGCAAGGGTTATTTTTGAATTTGTTAAATTCAATTTTCAAATTAAATTCTAATATGAACATAGCACTTTAAAAGTGTTTATTATTAGTTTTTAAATGTAGAAATATCCAATCAAAAAGTAGAAAAATAAGAAAAAAACTAAAAAATCCTTAAAAAAAATAGAATACTGAACTAAACTTTCTCTATGTCTTAGCTTTTATATAGATATATAGATTTCACATAGATATATTCAAAAGAAGATTCAAAGAAATATCAAATTTCACACAAACTATTAGATCAATTAAATATTTATTAATCTTATTATTGTATAAATTTTTTTCACCTTTATTGCCATAATCTGATTATTTCTACACAATACTATTAGATCGATATTTATTAATCTTATTATTGTATAAATTTTTTTCACCTTTATTGCCATAATCTGATTATTTCTAAGAGTATTATAAAAGAAAAATATCACATATTGTTTTCTATGATAAAAAAAACTATTAGGTAACTATTTTTATTTTAGATAATCGTCTGTAATAAAAAGAAAGTGAAGAAAAAATTAATTAAATATTTTCATGTACACCAGTTTATCATGAAATTATATTATTTTTTCCATAGAAAAAACTAAAAAAAATTAAGTATTAGAATATTTATATGCAATATAATTTCAAAATTTTATGTTTAAAAATTTATTCTATTTGAAAATTTATTTTTTACAAAATATATCCGATCAAATCATACAAACATGAAGAAAAGAAAGAGTATTAATAAAAAAATAAATTTTTTCTAGTTTTATCTCCCTTCTAAATAAAATACTTTAAATTATAATCAAAATGCAATCAAATAAATAATAAATTTGAAAAATAAAATATAAAAATTTTCAAATTTCTCATTATTATATATTCAAATTTCTGCATTAATTATATAATTTTATTAAAAATAACTTTAAAATAAATTATATAACAATCAACTAAATAAAAATAAATTATATACAATCAACTAATAAATTGTAATTTTTTTAATTGGCTATCATTAAGGGTATTTTAGAACATTTTAAATTTCATTAAAGGTGATATCGAAAATCTCATTATCTCCTCATATTCACACGCTTATTTATCTTTTTTAATTAATTAATTAATTTTTGAAAAATAATTAACTAAAAATTAAGTTACCAAAACAAAGATAAATAGTTATTTTTTTATTCAATTTAATTTTGTATTATTACAACTGCTAATTTACATCATTTGTACAAATTTATTATGTAGAAATGTACTATTTGTTCATTGTCCCTTTTGAAGTGTCTCCGAAATTCAAAACATATCGTTACAATAGGATGCTAATTCCTAATTAAAATGAGATAAAACTTCTCAATTAATATTTAATATATTTTAAATAATATTAATGCATATTTGTATTATATATATTTTTTTTCTGTTAAAAATAGGATTGACCAAAATTGTGGTGGACACCTAAAATAGTAGTCTATTCAAAGAAAGTGTCAATGAAAGATGCACACCTACTAAAGAAGAACCAACGTATTACATCTACTTAGGACTTAAACACTAACATTCATCTAGATTACTTGAAAAATATTACAACCAACGTATTTCAATTACTTAGAATATGAAAAGGTGACGTTCAATTGTTATAAGTTACATTTTCATAGAAGCCAAACAAAACATGAGAATTTCGCTAATTCCTAGCTAGCTTCTTTACTTTCTTATCAATGGTGAAACTACTGTAGATAATTGAGATTTTCTATATCCATACAGAAGTATTTATTCACCATTAGATCAACAGAATTAAATATAAGCCGTAGACTTAAAAAAATTAAAATGATCTTTTACCTTTAAAATACGTCGTGTTTATTTTTTTAGAAATAAAAATTAACTTACATTTATTTATCATTATTCTTTTTAATTCAAAAAGACATTTACTCTATCAATTATTTTTAATAAAATAAGAAGAATAAAATTATAAAAACAAATTAAAAGTTTCAATACTCATATACAATTTTTCTTTTATCATGTATTAGATTTAAATTATTTACATGAGTACAATTTTTCTTTTTACATGTATTAGGATTTAAATTATTTAAATATTATTTTTCATAATAATAAATTTTTTTACATCTAATAAAATTTCATTTAAACCTTTTAAACAGTAAAGACAATTCAAACTTCAAGATCTTAATTCTTATTTTAAAATAAAATTTTTAAAATTTAACAACAATTAATTTTGCTTTTCTTTATTTTTTATAATGCCAAATTTACATTGGATTTATGAAAAGTTACATAATTCTAAAATTTTAAACTTTTTATATATATATATATATGAATGAAGAATAAATTTAGACTTATATGTATGCTTTTAAAGAAAAAAAGAAATTATTTAAAAAAAATATAAAAGAAAGAGTAAGAAAACAAAAGACCAACCAATATTATAGTAAATTTAGATAATAATGTGTCACTCAAATGGAGTTCTGTATCAATTCAAAATTTTGTTAATTCTGTATTCTAGTAAAAGCCGCTTATCAAACAATTACCCTAATTCCACAATAAAAAAAGCTAGGCTTTTGCTACTGTGCAGAAAGGGCAATTTATGTATATGTACAGAAACAGTAATATATATTTATACGTGAAAAAAAGAAAATTTTTAAATTTTATGTTAAACTAGAATAATGGGTTTCTTTACAGACTAAATTAGATTTTTTTTTTTTTTTTTTTTTTTTTTTTTTTAACTAAATCGATATTTTTCTAATTAACGTTTTACTCCCTTTTTTTTTTTTTTTTTTTTTTTTTTTGTTAACTAAATCGATATTTTTCTGAAGTTAACGTTACTCCCTTTCGTTCTCTATAATTCCATCATGCAGTGATTCTAATCCTATCTAACAGTTGCTTCCATTAATTCTATCTAACGGTTGCTTTCATTTTTATAATCTAAACACTTGTTTCACTTTCCTCTTCACCCATCGGCAAATTAATTTTCTCATTTGATTTCTGTGAAAGCATTGAGAATCACTTGATTAAGACTTGACGTTGAAGATCATTGCCATTTTTGATTGTCCAATTAAGGTTAGTTAACTATCTCTTTTTATGTATTTGATGGTTGTGGTATTATAGCATGCACTATAAGTGTTTGTTAAAATGCCTCTTTGAGATTAGTTGAATTTTCTTTATAAAAAGCTGTTATTAGTTGCTGCTATATCCTTGTAATGAATTTGTCATTCATTTATTATTCTTTTTTTATTAGCATAATAAAATATTAATGCATGATTAATTGTTGAGAGAAGATATACAATCAATTTGTTGTTTGTTATTTGTCACTTTTCAAGTTTGAAATTGGCTGATTTTACTACATTTAATTAAATTGACAGTTAAGAATTTTTATTGTAAAAGTAAAAATAGTAATTACATTCATATATTTCCAAGAATCAATCAAAGGCAGAAGATGTACATAAAGATTTTTTCTTCTTTTTGGATTCTTGAAAATATATATTGATAGAAGTTTTTAATGATACAAATAGAACCAGTAATTTTCTATACACTTTGTTTTTGGTTCTTGTTTTGTTCCTCCAACTTTGGTTTTCTGTTAAAATTTAATTTGATTTTGACTAGATCTTCTTTTTAATTTACTGGTCTGGTCTGTCTTCATATCAACTTTAAGAAAATGTGGGGATCAAGTGAATTTTTTTAGCAAATCCCATGTTTCTTTTTTGGAGAGTAACTTCATGACCAACCCCTCTTACTGTTGCAAATGTTAGCCCTGCATATACCTCTATCCGGCCTCCCACCTTCACAAAACCAGAAAAATCCCATATGTTACTTCTTATTACAATAATATGTATGCTGAAAATCATCCTCATAATGAAAACGTGGTGGAAACATGGGGTGGCTTTACAGTATTTATAAAATAAGCACTCTGAGCTATAAAAAGCTTGAGCTTCTCATCCAAGCTTTCCACACAACCAGGATATTGTAGCTTACTCTCCTCCCCCTGTGCTATCCGTATCCGCCAGGTGAAGGAAAACTTATTGTAAATGATCTTTCTTCACTTCAAAGTATGGCTAAACTTTTTACACAATTTTAATTAGAACCTGTATTTGATTCACATTCTCATTTAGTGAGATGTGTACTATCATGTATTATTACAGTTTAAATCATTGAACGATAGTACATGCCTAATGGAATAGGTCTGAGTCTCTTCATTGTTGAGATAACAAGGATTGAGTTGGTAAAGAAACAATTATTGTACTTTGCATTAGGCATGTTGCAGAACATTGGACATGAATGTTTCATTTTTCAAGTTTGAGGGCAATGTGCTTGTATAACTTATAACTATTTCAATTGTATTTGCTACATTCCTGTTAATATTTTTGACCCTTTGTTGCTTTTAAGGCTGGAGGTTCGCATATGGAGACTAAGTTCAACAATCAAGCTAAAAATGCAATGCAAATTGATAGAGCATCTCCATGGATATCAGGCCCATCTGAAAGCTCGACATGACACATATTTCAGGACCTCCCATATAGGTTCACAGCCAGATGGGCTCGGGCAGTCAGCCTAGTCGCACTGCAGGAGTAAATATTTCATTACAAAAATTTTACCATCTTCCAGGCTTTTATTAATGGTATCCTTTTCGCTGACTTCTAATTTCCCTTCTGTTTTACTTATGGTCTAGTTGATGCCTGAGATGGAGAAAGCACTACTTCAGTAGGTCATGAGCCTCACACTAGAATAGATTAATCTTGTAATACCCTCAGTTTGGCAATCTCAGATATTTTGATTATTATGGTAATTATTGCTATTCAAAAGGATAGAATAATTGGAATTACTTTAATTTATTAATTAGGAACTATTAATTATATAAGATATGATATTTAATGGAAACCAATTTTGTTATGAAAATCAAATTGAAAGAATGTTAAATGAGCTTAAACGTTGATGATGAGAAGCTAGCACCAGAAGCTGCTTAAGCTAGCACCTTGATTTAGCATTTAATGGATTAATATTAAATCACCTAAGACATTTGATTAAGGTTCAATTGTGTATATATACATCCTCAATCTGGTAGTTCTCGGTGTTCTAGCTTGTTTGGTGATTTCTATTATTCGAGTAATTTAAAAATCGGGAATGACGAGAAACACTATAGTTAGAGGGTATAATATTAATTAAATGAAAATTAAAGTATTTATGAATCAATTTGAAAGATTAAAGAGAATTGAAAATGAGTAAAAGAAAAATGATTTCTTGATAAAGCACAATTTTACTCAGAAATCCCGAAAATCGATAATTTTGGTTTGATGTTGCATAAAAGGGGCTGAGATTATTAAATACACTTGGTTTAGACCTAATCGAGACTAAACTAATATAATTAAAAAGATTTAGGTGCAATTGTAAGAAAAGAGAATCAAAGGAAGGATTAAGGTGCAAAAAGACAACTAAAGAACATGAAGGAAATTACCATGAAAGGGTTTTGATTGCCACCCCAATTGTAAGAAAGAGAATCAAAGGAAGGATTAAGGGGTGCAAAAGACAACTAAAAGGATTAAGGTGCAAAAAGACAACTAAAGAACATGAAGGAAATTACCATGAAAGGGTTTTGATTGCCACCTATTTAAGATGACTCATCAAGCACCTCTTGCTGATTTTTACTATCCATGGTTGAAGCTCCATGAAAATTGAGAGAAAATTATTAAGGACAAGCTTAAAGTGCATGATTTCTAAGGAATTTTCAAGTGATTCTTAAGGAGAGTTAGCTATTTTCTCTTCCCCTTTCTTTTCCATAGTTTAATTTTTTATTTCCATAAACTTTGGTATGAGGTGATTGCTTATTGTTGCTGACTTGGTAAAGATGAAGTGATTAAAAGTGTTTTTAAGATGATTTAAGATGATTGAGAATGATTGAGTATGAATTTGATGTCAAGTTTGCATGATTGACCAAATTAGTTAATTTTAACCTTTTGATTTATATTCTATGGATTAGATATTCTAGTATATGAAAGACGATTTTGTTAATTAAGTGTTATAAGAGTTGTTATGCATAAGTTAATGGTGGATGCAAATTAAGAATGCTTAAGAATGTAAAGAATTGCTTAAGTCTATTACAATTGAGCATCTTGAATCAGTCACCAAGATTGACATAGTTAAATGGCTAAACAAATTCCAAAAATTATGAAATTTCACAAGGAAGTATGTTAGGATGTTGGGAAGGTTTTGCTACAAGGGAAAGTGCAATGGAGAAAGGGAAATAAAGTTATAGTTAGATTTATGCAGGCTGCTCACTGGAAAACTTGATTAAGATTCAGGTACAATAATTAAGCTATTTGGCTATGCAAATAAGCTCCAAAATTCATGAAATTTTATATGGAAGTAGCTTGGGATGTAAGAAAGATGCTGTTAAAATTTTAGGACAAATGAATTTAAGAAACTAAAGTTATAGCCAAAGGAAGGCAGACTACTCATGTGATTAAAATGTTGTATTTTAATCATTAGTAATGAATTGAGATTAAGTATTAAAATGTTGATATGTTATTAAGTCTCATTATTTTAGTTATTATTTGTATGATTCTAGGATGAGATTAAGAATTAAAAATAAAGTAGTTCATGCCTTAAATAAGGACAAATGGTACTTGGTCAAGCATAGAGAAATTAAAGGAAAAACATGAATACTACATTCTAATTCTTAAATTTGCATCCTTATGACAGTATGTGTATGTCTAATGTGTAGTATGAAGTTAATATGAATATTAATTTTATGCTACAGCTTTTAAGAGGAGAGGATTGAAAAGAGAAGTTAATAGGTAAATGAGAGGAGCTAAAGGAGCCTTCTAGCTCAGGTTAGTGCACTGTATCTATAACTTATATTGTTTAAGTGATAAGCAAAATAGTTTTAAAGAAATGTTTTATGAAATGTTACAAAGGTACAAGCAATAAAGTTAAGCTTTTATGTTATGAGTTTAATAAGAGAAAAGTTGATTTGTTTATCAAATGTTTCATCAAATGGAATTGAATTCGAGTATAATTATTGTAATTATGAATTGATTGTAAAGAAAACAAATATTAAAGTTAAAGTTAAATGTGTTTTATGCAAAATAATAAAGATTTAATATTAAATTTTTTACAATGGTTTTAAACGAATTTTAAAGTACTCGTTTGAATGGAAAATGGAGGATGTTGACCATTGACTCTTGTAATATGAGGGGTGGTCTTGAAAGAATGAAAATAGAAGTGTTTGAGCTAATTGATATGTTGCTCATTATGGTTTATAATTAATTTATAATTAATTTATAAATGTATGACATGGTTATCACTTCATTTGTTGAAGTTGATATTATGACATGGTTATTGCCCTGCCGATATCACTTCATTTGTTGAAATTGATATTGTGATTGATATGAATGTGGTAATGAAAGATATGGCAAGTAATATTATTCCCTCCTAGATGAGGTTGAGATAAATTGATATTGTTTGATTATCACTTCATTTGTTGAAATTGATATTGTGATTGATATGAATGTGGTAATGAAAGATATGGCAAGTAATATTATTCCCTCCTAGATGAGGTTGAGATTGTCCCTCTTCTGTTGATATTTATATCATAGATTGAGGTTGAGATAGCTTTGTCTTGATGAGCTCATAAGGCATTAATGGCCCTTCAGATTGAGTCTATATAAGCTGTGGAGACAAAACTACTGATTAATGATTTATTGATATGTTATAATATCTCCATTGAATTGATTTGTTTTCAGTGAGCAAATAAATATGATTTAACTGATAAACTTATTTATCGTCTCTATCTAACTGATATATTTTCAGTAAGCAAATGATAAGCATTGACTTGAAAAAGCTAATATTGAGATTGTTTTTCACATTTAAACATTTTAAATACCTAATAGTGAAGTATCATTTATATTATGTAATTTATATAGTGCACCACTAAGCCTTATGCTTAGCGACAGTTGTTTTTTATACTATTATAGGAAAAAGGATAGGAGAAGCAGGAGAGAGAGAGAGTCCTATAGAGTGCTGAGCTCTTTCTGCAGCTTTGAAAGGTGAGCTACTATGACATTGCCTTATGAATAATCTTATTGGATTTTGTATGATGTATAATAGAGACTGATCACTAATATCTACTTTGAGCATACTAATGCAAATGAAGCTATATAAATTTACTGTAATAATGTGCATTATAAAGCACTTGAAACATTTTAATTATTTTAAAACTAACTTGTCTTAATGTTGATTTTAAAGGAACAATCTCATATGTGATCTTCCTTTAATGGGCTTATGGGTAATGGTTTCATCAATGTATTTTAATATGTAAGAATGTAATTGAGACACCCCGAATTTTTATTTTCGAAAACTTTCGAATTTTTAATAAATCAAAAATCTCGATTTTCAACTAATGGGCTATATATATACCAAACAAAACTAATGGGCTATATATATACCAAACAATCTTCCCAATTCGAGCCCAAAAATTTTACGAGTCAGGCCCTAAGCCCAAATAAAATATCGAAAAGAAAATTTTTTGAATGCGTAAACGGTTTAAGATTTTTGGAGGATGAATTACCGAAACCCCGTAATTTAATCATAATTATGAATATATATAAAATCATTATTCCCAATAAATCAAATATTGTTACTATTAAATAATTTTATAATTTATTGAGTAAATGAGAAAATATTACGTAAACCGAATTAAACGGTTAAAATAAATTGAATCAGGCCCGAAAAATTCAGTTTAATTTGTCGAGGAACCACCCAAATATATCGAGAACCGAGGTAAAAAAAACTTTGAATAATCAAGCGAGTAATGTAGACCAAACCACTAAATCGGAACCAAACCGCGTTGAATCGAACCGAATTTTCTAGAGTTTGCGTATGAAACCGCCTTACTTTTGTTTTTTTTCCTTTCTTTTTCTTTCTCCATCTCCTTCTTCAGGCGCTGCGACAGGGCCTCCCCTCCACCCTCTCCCTCCGGTTTCCAGGGCCACCGCCTCGTACGATAGAAAAAAAGGGCGGGAGAGAATGAGCGATCGTCTCCGCTAGAGCTCCTGCGTCCGGTTTTCCGGACCTCCTTCCACACTTGGTCAGAGTCTCCCAGTGGACGCGAAGCGGGACTGTCTCCATCGACAGTTCTCCTTCTTCGAATCTCCGACGAGGATCGAGCCAATTCCGCGACGTTCAACACGAAAGGCAGGCGTCGATCGAGTCACCTCCACCTTTCGTTGAGTGGTTTCTCCTCCATTTTAATTCCGGCACAAGCCTTGAAATGGCGGAATCACCATTAATGGCGCACCCAAGCTACTGTCGGACTAATTCAGCCAAATGGAGGGCCAACCTCGCCACAACCGACATCTCAAAAACGGACTCCTCGATGAAAAATTTGAGTAGGGTGGCGCTGAAGAAGCGGTCAATTCTGGGTGGCCCCAACTTTTTCCGCACAACCGACATCAAAAACGGACTCCTCGATGAAATTTGAGTGGGGTGACGTGAAGAAGGGTCAATTCTGGGTGGCCCCAACTTTTCCGGCCACCGTAGACGGCGACGATCCGGCGAGTCTCCGGCAAGGTGCCAGGGACAGAATGTTCCTCTCTTCGCGAGGATCGTGGAATCGTCGCTCAAATTTCAATTGGTACATTCTAAGACCAATTTCCTATTTTTGGTATAAATTCTAAACTAATTAAATTGAAAATTTGAATGAATTGATTCATACATCATATATGAGCTAGGGTGAGAATGACCTATTTTGCTGAACAACAACTATTTTGAATAATTGCGAACATTTAGATAAACTAGTTATAAGAATTGATATATATTTATATCTATATACATAAGGGCGAGTCGAGTTACTTAGTAGATGTA